ATTGTACTTCCATGATTGGGTTCTCCAATTCATGCAATGACCACACAGGAGTCACAGATGGTGATCCCAATTATTGGGTTTATTGTGGAATTATCAGGTTACTATTTGGGTGAAGGATGTTCAGGATATGGTTGTTAGGTCAGGATAGTTTCTTCTGTGCCATAACCACAGGCAGGCCTTGCTCTGGAGATCAGCATCTTAGCTTTGTCACACTGAGACAATGTTGCAAATATCTTTTAGGGTTGCCGATAAATGCCCAAAGGACATGCTACTCTGCTCTAAACTTCAACCCCCAAACACGCAGCTCCAGTTCCATGGATCAGCAAACCCACCTGTCCCAATTCAGTGCCCACAAGTCAGCCTCCTGCCCCAATGCACTCAGCTTCACTTGCTCTGAGGGCTGGGAAGTTGCTGCTCCTGTGGTGTAAACGTCGTCTTCTGGATCGAAGAGGTTCAATGCACAGGAATCTCAGGGTTCAAACAATGCACTCCCCTTCTGGTGCTTCTTTCATGCTGAAAGTGAGAATCCCCACCACCCTCCTCCTTCTGAAATGATATTGTACCCAGTGATGGCAATCATTCACAGTTGAATCATTACTGTCAGTATCTCTCCCCACCTTCTTACCCAGATTAATCATGAAAATTAAGGTGGTTTGGTGGAAGTAATGAAGGCTATGGCTAGAAGAGTCATATTAAATAATTAATTGCACTATAGTCTGTCTCCTAAGCTTTGTCTTCTTGATGCTGTCACCACCTGATGTATTGTCTGTTTCACCCGTCTCTACGTTGTTTTGCTCAATGAGGTATCTCCACTGTGTAGAAGAGTGTCTAGAATAATGCAGAATTGTGACTTGAGGAGGTGAGTTTCCTCCAGGTGGTCTTGCATTTCTTCTGTGAAGGAAAAGGCAAGGTCATCTGTTGAGAAGGAACTGGGGAGATGGTAGGGCAGACACCTTGAGAAGTAAGGAGGTTTGAAGGGCCTTTGTGGAAAATGAGAGAGGAAGGTTAGAGGGATTCAAGAAGAGTGGACTGACCAGTGTTCAGAACCCAGCTACATCTGGAGCCCACAAGCAGTCGGCACTGTTGTAACTTCCACAGCAAGTCTCACCGCCTGTAGAGAGGGTCAGATATTTTGATGCATTAGAGATCACCATTGCCCATAACATGTTAGATCTTCACAGTAAGTCCTTACGTTCCTTACCTGTTTAATCTCAAGAGACAAGTTTCCTTTTCTTCCTTAACTTTCTTTATTTCTTGGTGTTCTGACTACTGTTCCATCTACATCTTCAACCTCTCCCTGCTAACGTTTGTTGTCCTTTAAGACTTGGCTTAAATATTATATTTTGAAAACATCCCATAGTTTTATCAAACATTAGCCACAGTTCTGTGATCAAATATATTTTTTAAACAACATACAGCCTTTGGCATACAGGCTTAGGTTCATGACACAATTGTCACTTATTGTGTGTTCCTGAGCAAAATAGTAATTTTTTGCTATTACCTGTTTTATAATAGCCTTCTTTTTGAAATACCATTTTATTT